CTTTGGACAATCCTGTTTGTGTGTTGTGCGTGTCAGAGCAGACACAAGCGTGGGCGTCCAACACGCTGCCCTCCTCCCACCCCAATGTCGCACTCTCCCTTGTGTGTTGATGACAACGGACTGCAAAACGCCTCTTGCTAGGAATTTGTCCCGAAGGGCCGCAGCTTCTCCCTAGAGACCTTTTGACAAGCAAAGCCAATGGAGGAAGCCAGTCACTTAACAAGCGGGTGACTCACTCAACAACTGCACCGATTCACTTAACAACCATAGCAAAAAAAAGGGGGGGTCCAGTGAGGCAAGACTCACTTAACAACTGTCTCATCTAGCAACATAAATTTGGGGCTCAGTTGGGGGTCTACCTGTATGGACCATGACATGGACCAGAACCCACAAAAGCCAACTGGATGTTGTTTGGTCTTTCAGATGCCCCCCAGGACCCGCCCCTCCCCTTCCAGCGGAGCCTGGGGGCTCCCTCCCCCAACCTGAAAAAGCCGCCTCTATCCGGCCAGGAGCGAGAGAGGACCGGCCAGTGGCCTTCACCAGACGCCGAGACCCATCTCCCGATTCCTCCAGTTCTGGCCTGCAGTCACGGGTGGGACAGAAGACCTGGAGCATGTGCAGAGTTCACGTTGGGTGCCCTGCAGGCAAGGGAGGGAAAGCCTTGGGAGCAGACGCAGCCCTCCAACCCTGGGCCAACTTCTCCGGTCTGCAGAGAAGGTCCCCAAAGGCCGAGCAGGAATTATGTCCCGCCAGCATTTCTGTGGGTGCGACAGCTGCTCCTCCTGGAACAAGGAAAGTGGCTCTTTCTCCCCCAGGAGTCATTGGCCCCTTCCTCTGGCTTGGGTCAATCAATCATTGGGAACGGAGCTGGAAGAAACCTAAGAGGTCTTCTAGTCCAGCCCCCCTCTCAGACAAGTGACTGTCAGTCTCTTCTTAAAAAGCCTCCAGTGTCAGAGCGTCCGTGATTTCTGGTTAATTTCTGGTTCCACTGGTTAATTGTCCTCACGGTCAAGACATTTCTCCTTCATTTCAGATGACTTCCAGGGTGTTTTGGAGAGTAAGTCGACCCCTCCTCCTCCTCCTCCTCCTCCTCTTTGTGACAGCCCCTCAAACACTGGAACGCTGCTATCATGTCACCCCTAATTCTGCCTTTCTCTAGACCGGCCAAACCCAAATCCTGCAGCTGTTCTTTAGGTGTTTTTAGTCTCCAGGTCTTTCATCACCTTAGTTGCTCTTCTCTGATTTAAAGTCTCGACATCTTTTTTTGCACTGTGGGGACTAAAATCAGATGCAGTAGAGCAGGGGTCTCCAACCTTGGGGACTTTAAGCCTGGTGGACTTCAACTCTCCGCATTGGCTGAGGAATTCTGGGAGTTGAAGTCCACCAAGGTTGGAGACCCCTGCAGTAGAGTCCTGTCCCTTGCCTGGGTTACCTTCTTTGACCCCTTGGGGGCCTCCTTCCCCATTATCCCCATAGCCCCTGCTCCGACAGGATCCTTGCACACGCACACGCACACCCCTCCCCAGATAGCCCAGGTCCCAGAGAGAGCCCCATTGCGCTGCTCTCGGTGCAACTGAGTCTCCCAAATGCCCAGAATGTCTCCTTTGGCATATATTTGAGCTCATCATTTGCACATCGTGCGGCACAACGGTGGCAGCAGCATCTGCCCCGGATGGCTTTTGATGTGGAGAATAATTAACACCCGTCAGGATGTTACATTTTTAATGCCGGGTGTTTGCTTTCCGTAATTTGCCCAGGGCTCCCATTAGAAAAACCTGAGACTGGAGAATTCCCTTTTCTCTCTCCGGCTGCGTTTGCATCAAGAACGCAAACACCATCTGCCAGGCTGCAGTCGCCTTCATTGGGGCGACACCACAACTCGGGATCCAGCAAGAGGGTTTACGCAAAACGCGTCTCCCCCGCCAGCGACAAAGTCACACTTGCAAAGCTGTTGTGGCCTGTCGGCCGCTGGTCCCTCCAGCAGCTGAATCACGGAGGAGGAGGAGGAGGAGGAGGAGGAGGAGGAGGTGGTGGAGGAGGAAGAGGAGGAGGAGGAGATGAACTGTGGTGTCCTTGGTGCTCTCTGAGCTTGGTGTTTTTCTTGCAGACGTTTCATGACCCAACCAGGGAACATCATCAGTGCTAGAAGAGAGAAGGAGGAGGGGGAGGAGGAGGAGGAGGAGGAGGAGGAGGAGGAGGAGGAGGCGGCATGGGAGTCAGGGCCAGCATCAGGGCAACCTGGGAGTTCTGAGGGAGAAGAGGGAATGAAGCTGGCAGAGAGAAAGAGACAGAGAAAGAAAGAAAGAAAGGAAAGAAAGAAAGAAAGAGAGAGAGAGAGAGAGAGAGAGAGAG